GAGCGTGAGTTCCCGGTTAAGCTAGCAACCGCTAGACTTCCACGTTTTTGGTTCTTTTGACCCCCATTCTTCTATCATTTGGATTTGGATTTGGGCCGAAAAGAGACATACTCGCTTCTTCATCCGAAGAAGTGACAGGAGAGCATTCTGGCTCTTCCATGATCAGGTCGCTTTCGACCGTGTACAAGTTTGGTTTTGTGTCAAAGAGCTCGACGACTTTTATGATGACGTGTGGAGTTGGCAATGTCGTTTTACTCACGAGATAAAAGCCTGCATGGCGGTTAATGCTGAAGTTATGAAACTGGTCATCGGTGGACACGCTCGTCGGGCATCTTCTTGCGGGAGTTCAGGGCTGTCTTGTACAGTTGGTCGTTGATCAACTACCTTTTTCAATTTTTATTTTTAACTCACGTCTAGATTCCGGTTGTACCTCTCAATCTTTCGGTCGAGCAGTCTGTTTTGCCCTTATATACCCCAGATGAGGCTCGATGTACCTACACATGACTCGGCTCTCTTTATTATGTGCCGGGGGGGAAATCTGGTCAAAGATCTAATCATGAGGCTCTGTGGTGTGGAATCTAGTTTGCTACTTTATGCGACCAACAATCACTAGAATACAAGCTACGTAGCGCAGTGCGTTGATCTTGACAAAATACGATGTGATACATGTGAGGTTTGTCAATTTTACGGTGCGGATCACAGAAAGGCTCACAGAAGTGTGTCCCAAACGGGTAGGCTCTCACGTTTCGCCTCGGTGACACATCCAGCCAATTACACCAGCTTACACAGGCACATGCTCAGCACACTCGGTAAAGCTAGCACGGGCCTACTAACACCACCACCCACCTGCAACCCCCTTCCCGTCCTGTCGGTCCCCAATGCGGCATAGTTGTGTGGCGGGGCGATGCGATTCCAGCAAGTAGAGTGGTCAGGCCAGGCCATAAAGGGTCTCTAGAGACCCCAGTGTTCGAGATCATGAAAGTCTCTTGTTTTCGGATCGCAGAGAATCTGGCATCTTGCACACGTACGAGGTGATATTCTCTCAAACAAGAGGATAAACGCAGCTCAAGCTACACAAGTTGCGTGTCGACCCACGGCACATGGTGGAAGGAGCAAACAAGTCGAAGTGAAGTGTTCCCGGCATATTGTAAGAGGGCAAACAAAGACCCCACCCTACGTCTACAAGACGACGCAGAGGGTATATAGCACCAAGGAAAACAGGATTGAGGGGGGGGAAAAAGGAGGTTAAGATCTAACACTCGACCGAAAGAAGCGGTTTCGAATGTACGACCTGGAATTTTTGAAAGAACTCCCAAAACGAGCACCCAAATATACCGAAATATCCTATTCCAACGATGACGGCGTCCGTAGCCTCGGGATTCTCGCCTCACTCCGGCATCGACACGGATGAGAGCAACGAGAGCTTTGTCATGGTCGGCAGTTATGGCGGTACCAGCTCGAACACGAGCTCTATAGCGTATTGGGAGTCACCGAGCAGCGGCAGTTTTCAGTCTTTCGCTTTTGTTGGACAGCAACCTCAGTTCATGCCCCCAAGCCCTCCGGCTGTCAGCCCCTACGCCCTGGAAGTTGGCAGCGATGCCGCGGCGCCGCTATCAGCGGATACATTTGGGGACGGCGACGGCTCTTATGACTTCCAGACTGCCTCAACGAATGCGAACCCCAACCAGCTTGACCTGAGCAACTCTGACATAAACGAAAGCCAAGAGCCGCTGGGCCTGGGTATGATGCCGGAGGAATGGTCGGTGCAGTATCAGGGGCTATCGACTTTTTTGACGACCCCATCCCCTGATATCCTGCAAAACAACAATCCAGGACTCGAATTCATATCTGGATTTTCGGACATTGAGATTCCACAGTCGATGATGGATGTCTCGAACGTCTTGCCATGGAACTCCACGAATCTCCAGCAGGATGGCATGTTTCTCATGGATGGATTCACATCACCGCCGGCACCGACTTCTGTATCGATCAGTCCAGTGATCGACACGGTAGGCCCAGTCTCACCGCAGCTAAAGCAGGAGGCGAGCAGTGCGAAGGCAAGTATTCCCAGTCCTATCAGAAGGGTCAGGGGTACCGGTGCCCGGGTGGAAAAGAAAAGAGCCACGTCCTCCTCCGACTCCTCAAGTCTCGGCAGCAGCCCTACGAGCAAGTTTGTCATCATGACTCCAAACACAATCAGCGCACACGCGGGCAAAACAAACCCGTATGAAAGTCAAGATGCTACGCGACCCTCGCAAAGAGGACGCAAGGGGCCGCTAGCCAACGCGACGAAGGAGAATGCACTACAAGTCCGTAGGCGAGGTGCTTGCTTCCATTGCCACGCCCGCAAGGTCAAATGCGACATGGATAGACCATGTAAGAATTGCCAGAAACTAATAACAGACATTCCTCAGGTGATTTGTTGGCGCTTTACGGACTTTGTGCCTATTCTTTTCCCGACATTCATCCGAGGACACTTCGACAACAAGGCCGTGTATTGCTTCAGCAAGGACAATGTCGGGAACTTCAGGATTCACGGTCTTGAGAGACCATGTGAGGTAGTGATGTCTTCAGGTTTGAGGTTCGCTACCACCTTACGAGTTCACGCCAAATATTTCACGGCGAAAGGAGACGACGTTACGAAACATTGGCATTTGAGTGTTCAAGGACATCTAGTGCAACTTCACAATGAGGCTTCGGCGCCAATTGGGCTAGAGACACTGACAGAGTCACCGAAGGACGAACTCAAGAAGATGCTAAATAGCTCACTCAGGGGGTATTTCGAAGCCCTCATCAAAGAGCCTGCTTTTGCGGAACAGGTCACGGAAACTCTGGTGCAAAAGTCTGTCGTCCCGAGATTTGTGATGCAGATTGTCCATCAGTTCTTTCAGAGTTCCTCTGTAAGTTGAGCCGTACCAGGAGATCGGATCACGCTGATTATCTATTATTAGTCACCCCCAGAGTTGGTGAGGCGAGCGTTATTAATATGTGCAATGCACTATGTGATGACCCGCCAACTCACTATTCTGGCTACAGAAGAGCCGTTGGAGAGTCGACGATTTGCCCCTCAGGGACGCACCTCACGCCTGTTGAACAGACAGATCAAGACCATTATCGACGATCTCATGCAAAAGGAAATGGTGAAGATCTTCGACGACTTCTCCAGATCCCTCAAATCGAAATCCAAGAAGGAGTGGGCTCCATGTCTGGCGGCATTCCTAGTCCTCTGCCTCTTCATGGAATCCATCGAATCGGCCACAGACCTTTTCGTCATATCAGAAAACGAAATTAGCCTGAATCAGACGCCGCCTTCACTTTCTTTTGACCGTAAAGATGCTCGGGAAGTCAATCGTGAAATAGAGAACATGCCATTCAAGCAATTCGCATTTCAATTTCACCAAGTCTTCATGACGCACACGAAAGATGCATCAGCCAAGGCTTTCAACCCTCTGATAGACAATAGTATACTCGAATCTGATGACCTAGACGAGCAGGCTAAGGAGATGACGAGGAGCTTACGAGATATTTTAGATGTCTATAGTAAGTCCCGTTGTCTGGCGAAATCAACCCTTTTCTAACCGAGACAGATGGTGACCTAGTAGCACTGGCGGAAGACCCGCTGCTACCGAATATCGAGCGTCATCCATATCCTAGCAATACCGGGGATAGATACGTTGGGTACCTGACCGCGAGATTTTTACTATCCTTCACCGATGACGGTTATATTTTTGAGCCCAAGTCGCCTTGATGGGCCTATGAAAAACAAGGAGTTTTGGGACGATTGTATTACTTGGGCGGCATATCAAGTTAATGGAGATACCGATGTAGCGTTATGATAGGTTTGGATCACACAGCGAAGTACATGAGCATCGTGTCACATCCAACGTATTTTGAAATCAAGCATGTTTGTCCGTATTAGTCCCGCTGCCGCACTTGGGTCTACGACAGCAGGGTGGACAGGACCGGCTGTCTAGGCCTTGGATTGTTCTTCCACGCGAACGATAAAATAAGTTAACCGTCAAGCGCATTGAGAAGGCGCAGCGGTAGGCAATTTGTGGATGTTCTGAGAATGTGAACCTTCGCCCTCGGGAAGAGCGAAGGAAGGAGCATAGAGCAGAGCCTCGATCGAGTATGGACTAATGTCGCCTCGGGTTGCTGCTGGATCAGAGAAGTACAAACCATGCCGGTGATATTTCCAGATTCATCATATTCGGAACCTGACCAGTGGTGAGGCAGCATATGCTCAAGTCAGTCTTTGGTGTGGTAGCAGAATTGTTGTCTTAGTTAGAAGGAAGAGGAAGAGAATTTCATCGCCGGAACCTAAGTATTGAAATGAGCATGGTGGTACGTGCGCAGACTCCACGTGACTCCCCAACATGCAAGTTTTCTGCAGCCTGGCGTAACTTCCGGTCTCTCTTTTCTGCTCCATACACTTTTTCGCACGAATAAATCAACCGGTTTGAACTCGCCAACTTGATATCGGTCATATTGCGTGCTAGAGTCAATCGGATGCTTCCCCGGTGGACACACAAGTTCACGTGTGGATCTGCGACGCCTCCCTCGTTTGCCGGTTTGCGGGATATCCCACATGCATTCAATTTCATGGTGTCTCTTTAGCTTGGAACTGTGATCGTCAGCCTCATATTTTCCATGCACCATGCTTCCGTTCTAGGCCCGGAACCGCACAGCAAGGGTACTGTAAGTTTGATGCAGGCGTCGTTCGCAATGGTTCGCATCTAGTTGATGCAGGACGCTGTCCTTTGTACAACGGAAAAAGATGCTTGACTGGGCCTATTTAAGCATACCAGCCATTGTGCGCATATGGCCCTGGTCACGGCATGGAATCTATACGGTAGTGTCAAAATGTGTCGTCTTTCAGTGACGACTCCGGTTGTCGAGTTATCTGTTGTGATACCCGGCCGCCAGTTCCGATGTCTCCATCCGCGCTGGTCCGCTGTCTCGGTTACCCACCAGCTGACGGGTATGTTTCTCTCACATACATGATTCTGAGACTTTCGGGTCCCTTCTGGCATGTTATGATTGCTTCGTCTGGCTCAGCGTATGACGAGACAATGACGAAAGGCACAGGCTCGGGGTGCACATAAATAGGTCACGGATGCCTTTTCAAAGCTAGTCCTCTTGGCCAGCCCCCCTGGACATACTAGTTCGGCCCGTGGCTAAACCTGCACTTCTGACAGCAGAGCAGCTTTGAGATATCATGTTGCCGGCGTAGCGGCCGACGCTGTACTCTTATGGGTTAAGTCCGCCGTGGGAACGCAAGACTAGCTGGGGACGCCTGATCTTTGCCTCACCTCTGAGGCTTATGTGAGTGGTCGTGAACCGCGACTTGAGCGATGATCTGAATATTCTGGCTTCTGCGAGCTAGCTTACGGCTTCTCGCATCGTGGGATTGGCGGTCTTTGCCATGAATGGTGGAAATGCGCATTGCTCAGCATGTCTCGCCCATGCTCTCGATGCTCAGCCTCATGTCGTTCGATGATCGTGAAGGACGTGGCGAGTTACGGCTCAAGAGGCATGGTAACTATAACCAGTTCCGGCGGTATGTCTATCGTGATGGTACTATATATATGGCTTATGGATGCTTTGAAGAAGATTGCTTTCGCTATGATAAATATAACAAAACGTGTGTTCTTGTAAGGTGCGTTGCGTACCCGTTATTGATAGGTGTTCATCTCAAACCATTGCCTTTTCGAGACTTGTCGACCGACCAGCCTCCCACAAACGAAAGCTTACTATCCGGAAAATGAACGCTTCAACCAACTTCGTCCTCTACAGCAAAGAAGGGAAGGACCAGGGCGGGAATGGAAAACCTAAGCCTATTAATCTTGATCCTTGTAAGTTAGCAGGCGCTTCTTGTCCAAGAGACTTCAGCATTTGAGCATCAACTGACTTATCAAACAGTGATGGGGAAATAGTGTCGCCATCTGGCACTACAACGGGACATCTTCACATGAGGCTCGATTTCGGAAGCGTTCATCAAGCGTGTCTTGGAGTCGTCTTCAAGAGATAGAGTCGTGAAACATTGGGTTGGGACGCATCACGATCATTGCTAAACACATGTAGACACGAGAAATATACGTAACAATATTGTCCTTGAATTTACAAGTCACCAGTGTTCATCAAATTCCCTTGATTGAATCGCTTGAAATAGTGTGGGTCTGTGATTCTCTGACGCTCTCATATTCGCATTGCGGTTGTGTTAATAACCCCTGTCTATAAGAGCATCAGATAGAGCACCAGCTACCTTGTAATTATTATTAAGGGAGACCTTTCCCAATTTTCGCGTCATATCCTCCACAGTTTGTATCCTCGCAGCTCGGCAAAATAAGCCGCTCCTCTTAAATGTACCTGGCTTTGATCTATCTGAGAGAGTTGACGACGATTTGTTCAAGATATGACACTTATATCGAGGGTGAATATTCTGTTCTTAACTAATGTACTATGTAATTCTAAGGTATTGAGAACATAACTGCTCTCGTTGTTGTGATTGACTACTTTCTGCTATGTCAAGCCTGGTCTTGAGGCATCTGCCAACTGAACGTCTCATAACCCAGCCACAAAATAGCCTTCGGGCCACATCGCTCAGGCTGGGAGAGCAGCCTCTCCGGGGATGATAGTGCCGTTATCAATAGCAGCACGATGCCCACGGGCAAGATATCCGTACACAGGATAGTACTTGTCCAACCAGGGGATAAGCTCTGCGGCGCCAGGCACGGCTCGCCAGTCGCGCATCAGATCACATACGATGGAGAACAGAGAAACAATTTGCACTCCGGCATTTGCCATGCGGTCGTTCGAAACGTCACGGATGAGAGGTGTGGTAGTTCCAGATGCCTCTACGTTGGCCCAAACGGAATACCCTTCGGCACGGAGGGAGAGCGCCAAGAACGTCGTGCCTGCATTTGTTAGTCTGCCCGAAGTGAAGACCCCCGGGAGTGATCTACTCACAGACGTCCGTCACGATTCCACCAACAATGACCTGGCTTTTGCCCGTTGCCTTCACTGCTGCGCGAAAGTCTTCATTGTCCCAGGCGTCTACCTCACCCTGGCGCTGGATAAGAGGAGCATCTGGATACATATCCAAGATCTCCTGGGGTAACTGTCCATTGGGGCCTTCAGAAACGGGGGTAAGCAAAGTTTCAGTACCTTTGAGTTATGGAAAAAAAACAGGTAACAGAAGAAGATCACGCACCTGTCTGCGCAGATGTTGTCATGACCACAGGAATGTCAAAGACCTTTCCCAGTGCTGCATGAGCAATGATACTGTCTCGGTAAAGGGTAGCATCAAAGTCCCGTGCGAGGGTGTAAAGTCCCTCCTGGAGGTCGAGGATGAGCAGCATCTGGATCATTGTTAGAACCAGTAAGAGAAATGATGCAACGGGTGTGTCACCGAATCATTCTTATTCAGTCGCTCGAAAGGAACGGCTATTGAGGATTAGATCAATTCTGATAGCACACCTAAGACTTCTAGGACATACAACTAGCAAGAGCTGTGGTGGATAGCATGCAAGCCGCAAGCAACGAGCGGAGGAAAGATATCATTTTGCTAGGACAGTTTTGCCAGAGAACGAGATATAGGAACTTAATTGTCAAGTCTAGTGATCGGTATGTTCCAACACGATAGCATCATGAGGATACCTCTTACTTATACTTGCTCTTCACATAACTCTAGCCAGTCTCGTTCCCACTCCGAGATAAATCCCGAACTCTTCTCCTGGTGGTCAGAGTCGGTCACACAATGACCAACCTCGCTGCAAGTGAATGGAATCGCTTTTGCTTGACAAGGTTTAGCAAATACTGAGTCAGCGACAGAAGGTAAAAGCGACGCTATTCCCATGGCCTTCTCCGCTCCGACGAGGGCATTAACTGGGAAACCAGGGACAACCTCGACCACCGCCATTCCGGCGGCTTGGCACACGAGGCGTTCATCTAAGAAGCGGAGTAGTGAGAAGTCTTTCGGCGTTTATTGACAAAGCCCAGGAAGGAATGTGTCAGCACCCATCTCTCAACTCCACAGTCTTACCGATGCATATCATGGCTTGCTGTGGCGTCGTGGCATCGGCAATGGATGTTAGTGGACGCTGCCGGCATTGTGGTCTGGAGGCGGCGCTCCTATAGTTGACCATTAGGTCGCGGGTCGGCACGCGGAAAGGATTTAGAGTGTCTTACAGCAAGCCACAATACACTACAAGGCCTGGGCGACTTACAAGAGTGCTGCATAAGTGGTTGAAAAGCAGTACAGATCTGCACTAGACCTCGTGTTGCTCTAAGGCCGTACCTTAACTGCAACTCAATCTGGTGAGCTTTCCGAAGTAAATGAGTCAGCATTGCTCATTGGCATCTTGTGCGTACCAGCAGACGTGGAGAAACAAGTTCGTCCTTCCCGCTTCTCGCAAGTTATTGCCGATGCAGATCCAGAAATTTGACGGATTAGAGCATGAGCTAATGCTTGATCTTCTTAACTCCAGAAGACGGCCCCAATGGACTTCGCAAAGCACGCATCTTTTTGCGAAGCCAATCAACAAGCAGACCAAGCTTTACCTTGACCGAGCGACGAGGAGCGGGCGAGAGCGGATTTGATGTCGAGATCAGTGTTGAGGTCTGACCCGTTCATTTTTAAGCCTGGAGATGGAATACTCACTAGGGCAAGGAACAACTGAATTAAAGCACCTACTGCCCAGCGCATCTCTAACCTCTTGAAACACGATGGACTGGGGTGGTGGCCGTCCATATGGTTGCGCGGGGGTGGCTTACCAAAGACATGTTCACTTATTTGCTATAACTCTCATTAATGTCTCTGGTAGGCTCGGAATATGCTTCTTTTGGACGATTCGCGACTGCAACTGGACAAACTACCTACTACATGATATGCCGTTTCTTGTTATAGCGTTCTCATGATACAATCAAGCTCTCTCTAACATGTGATATTACAGAGATAATTCACGCAGACAAAGATTTGGATTCGCGGTGACCTTGGACTCCAGGAACAATCACTTGCAATGATTTCCCAACCCATGTAGATTTGGCTGTCTAGGTGTTCACACAGTGGACGATCATAACACGGCAATGATTGCCAGATCGGCAGACTGAACCAAAGAATGGATATGATATATTAAGCGTCGTCACCTTGTCACCTTTCATCATGGGCAGAATGGCGTATTGTTCCAGAAACGGCAAAAGAATGAACTTGGCTTTACCCGCAACAAATGAGTTCTCAGCAGGTTAAAGTGCAATCGGAACCGCCTGAAGTTGGAGTTGCATCGCAAGTGAATTGCAACTTTCATGGATGAGCAAAAGTTCAGACAACCATCTTACACTTTATGGCCGCTAATTCTTTCTCTCCAGCCTCAGCACCTGTCACGGTGTGAGCCAAGCTCATAGGCGGTTTCGAGTCTATTTTAGCAGGATGAAACGGCCCAGGCTCGTCTGCCAGGGCAATGCAGTCAGCCAATCTTCTGTGACAATCTTGAGACATTAGCGTCGTCAAACAAGCTTAATATAAGTCTAAGAGAGGACCGGTCCAAGCCAAAAACCTTAACCCGTGCGCGGGGCGCTTCCCCCTCCCCTAATCACACACACCTCGCCAATATATTCCTCCTGCCGGGAAGGCCAGCCCAGCACGTTTTCCCTGAGTACCTACCTAGACACAACAAAGCAACGTGTCGGAGGTCCCACCCCGACTTCTGTTTCAAAGGAGACAGACAATGCATCAGCCAATGCCAGGCCCTCAATTGCAGTCGATGAGCCAGGATGCAAGCCTGGGGAAGCTCCAAGCGGGATGGTGACTAGGGTCCCGGGTACACGGACGCACCTACAGTCCCCGATTATGTCTCTTGACTTCTTCAATATAAGCTCCCTCGGAGCTCAATTGACCAGTCGTGAACTTGTTTCTCTCTTGCCATCCATAGCATCATAAACTATCCAACGATGAAGCCAATAAGTCTCCTGACACTAAGCATCACGCCCGCACTTGGCGGCGAGCTGATCCACCACCTTCACCATCCTGGGTACTGCAATTCGCCGTTGCTGGGGACCTTTCCACACCTGTCGAATCCTATCTGCTCCCACGACACCCTTCTTACAAAATATCAAGCTCCATCAAGGAGTAGTCCGGCCCATCGCGCTTGGGATCGAGTGTCATCATGTTACCAAAACGGAACCCAGGAGTACTGCGTTTTTGCGAGCACACAATTCGCCGAGGGGAGGGGCATCTCTGTCATCACCAGTCCCGAAAGGGCGGAGTATATGGCGAACCTTCCTGCGTTCGCTATACCAAACATCACAAAGGGATTCAATCAGGATCTTGTTCCTGACAGGCCGAAGAAGTATAAGCTGGTCCATGTGCCTGGCAAGGACATAGGAGTTGTTGCGTCACAGCCCCTGAATCGCGGTGATCACATCATGAGCAACACTGCTTCCGTGATAGTTGACTACGGCGCCTTTGAGAATGTTCCGAACCAAGACATTTTGCGCCTGCAGGCAGATGCGGTGGACTTCCTTCCTGCTCTCCATCGCTCACGATTTATGAACTTGTCGACACACGATGAGGTGGAAGGGCAGCTCCAAAGGGTCGAGAAAATCCTATCTACGAACGCATTTGATGTAGAGTTGGAGGACGACATCCAAGACGGATTGTACCTCGTCTTCCCGGAGAGTGAGTCTTTAAAGCAGACCTTTGCAGAGTTAGCTATTAATAAGACCTCAGTTGCGCGGTTCAACCACGACTGCCGGCCGAATGCGGACTACTACTTCGATCCCGACACTCTTTCTCAACACATCCATGCTATACGACCCATTGCTGCTGGGGAGGAGATAAGCATCACATATATTGAGTAAGGAGTCTCCAACAAGTGTTTTCTTAATCGAAGAGATCTTAAGCTGACAAAGTTGCTCATAGTCCCCTGAGGTCACGCGCGAAGCGTACGAAGAAGCTACATAGCGTCTGGGGCTTCCACTGCAGCTGTTCTCAGTGCACACGATCTGCGCCCATCACAGCCGCCTCGGACGCCCGCATCGCTGAGATCCACGAGCTGCGGGAGCACTTGTCCGACTACAGCGCCGAGTCGGCTGCGACGCCGCAGATGGCCGACCTGTTCATCAGCCTGTACGAGCAGGAGCGCATGCAGAGCACCATATACGAGGCGTACACATTCGCGGCCATCGAGTGGAACGGCGTCGGCGAGCCGTGGACAGCGGTCAAGTACGCACGCCTGGCCATCGAGTACGGCCTG